AGAGTGGCTGCCAGAACTGAGGGATGGTTGGTGGCAATCTCCAAGTGCAATCAATGTCCATGGCTTATGCTGCCCTAGGCCGAGGTGCTGCTTCCCCTTGAGAGGCTCACTGCCCAACGCTCTCGCCGTGTCGGAGGAGGTGAGGAAGTCATGGTCTTTCTCTATGTGGGCCAGATAGCTGCTCATGTCAGCCCAGGGAGTTCAGGGCAAGGCTGGGTCCCTTCCCCCTATAGCCCTCCTAGCTCACCTCTGGCAATGACTAGCCCTGGGAATTCCCCAGGGAAGCAGCCTGAGCTGTCTGGCCAGACTGTGGGTGGGAAATAAAGAAATCAAAGCTGTTGGGGATGGCTGGCCTGGCTTGTCTGGCTCCGTCCCCAGCCCTCTTTCTGGCCTCCTCCTTCCCTCCTCCCTCCGTCCCTGGGGGTGGGCATGGTATGCTCCCTGATGTAGGTGCACCCCCACCTCCTCTGCTGCCCCAAGAGGTAGCCCAGCAAAGTGAGCCCCCCTCTGGTCAGGAAGCAGAGAGCTTGCCCGGCCCGTGTGGATGCTGGCAGGAAAGAAAGTGGAGGGAGCATTGGAACAAAACTATAGGTGAAAAGTTCATTTGTAAGTTTTTCCAAAGGGGTTTTCTCTACCAGGACAGTGACTCTCACAGGGCAAGGGAGGGGAACCAAAGGTAACGATTACGGCCTCCCAGCAACTCCAAGACACCTCAGATTGTAAGATGGCCTGATGTGAGGCTCAAACTCATGAACCGTGAGATCAGACCTGAGCCAAAGTCAAGAGTCAGACGCTTAACGGACTGAGCCACCTAGGTGCCCCATATGTATTGCATATTTAGAAGTGTTAAAAGTGTAAAAAAAAAGAAAAAAAGACGGGATGTGGGGAGAGGTCTTAGAGTCAGTGAAATACAGACACCTTCTTTAAAACTGAGGTATCACCTCTCCTACACACCCCAGAGACCCCGAACACACAGGGCACATTAGGGCACAATGGCTGAGTGTAGTCAAAACCCCAACTAATGTCTGTGCTCTGAGAACACGCAGAGTAACTGCACTGTCTGGAAAAAGAGCCCCCTGACATCAGACAGGACTTTATGAAGCCATTTTTCCCCCACTGGTTGTTTTCACAGCCATCTTGGAGTTCGGCGAGGTAGGGCCTGGCCAAGGGCACCTATTACTCTTACGGAACGACCCCCATCCAGCAGAGAGTGGAGACAGAACTAGTGAGCAGGGAAATAAGTGACTTTTAAATGTCTTTCCCAGTGAAATTACTTACAGACCCTCAATGTATAAAACAATAAAATTGGAGTTGTTCTGGGGGAAGCAAGGGGAAAGATCAGAGCCTCACCCACCCTGCCCCGACCCATCCCTCACCCCGAGGTGGCTCCTAAGGAACTTCTCCAGACTCCCCAAAGCTCTGAGGAACAATCTCCAAATTTCCAGAGTAAGGGGGGCTTCAAGGGCATTGGTAATGTTCTTTTCCTTAAGCTGGATTTAGGTATTAGTCTTCATATTTGTTGTTAGACCTTAAATATTTCTATTTAAAAAAGGCACTGGTGTAGAGGGTCAGGTCAAAGAGATGACTCACAACCTGGAATCGCTGAATAAAAGCAAAACCAAAAAAAAGTTTGCTTTGAATCATGGGCTGGGGCGAGGCCTGGGCATGGGGCATGTTGTGAAAGCTCCCCAGGTGATTCTAATACGCAGAAATATCAAGGAGCTCTTGCCTTAGTGGTATCTTGTCAGCTCCCACATTCTCGAAATCAGGGGGTATACACTGGAGGGCACAGGAAGCCCCCCCCCTCCCCATTCTCAGCAGGCAGGAGAGTGGAGAGCCCAGGGTCATCTTCTACGGATTGACTGGTAAAGGGACTTGGGACTCCTGGAAAGTAGAAAGTGAATGGCTGAAAGGCCAGCTGGAGCAGGCAGCACCTCTGTGCCTCTTTGAATGGGGAGGGGGAGGGGCAGCAGGAGAGATGAGGCAGAACTGGTAGCTGGAGCAGAGGTACGGCTTGGGAGGCCTCGCTGGAAAGGAGAACACCTAGGCGGCCTGCACCATTGGCCCCATCACCTGTCAGAGCTTTGTCGAGGAAGAGTCTAACTTCCCTGCCAAGACCCGCCTTTGCTGTGAGACTCCTGGAGGGCTCCCGGGCCCGGCTAGGACACAGGAGGTGCAGCACTGACGTTAGGAAGTCAGCGGTGGATGTCAGAGCCCTTCGGGTCATCCATTAGCAACGGGAGCAGCCTTCCCTACCGCCCCCCTGGCAGACACTTAAACCTCCTTGCCAGGCAGCTCAGACACCCCAGATGTGCACTCTAGATGCCCCGCAAATGCTGACCAGGAGAGGGGTGGGTACAGGCAGTAACAGGGAGTCCTTGACTTTGGATGAGGCCGGCCTTGCCTGTTGCCAAGGTCAGCAAACCACACATCCTTTGAATAAGCCATTGCGTTTGTCAGACTGACGTACATAGCTCCGTCTCTCCACTGGCCTTGGCAAAACAGGACAAGGGGGAAATTCACTGGGGGGATCACGCTGTAACCACCCAAGCCACTCCCTACCCCTCCAAGGTGTAGGGGACATATTCCAGGGGCAGGCGGGGCTATGGCCGTGCAAACACCAACCCCGTGTGCCCCCAGGGAATGGGGAGGGGCAACCCTGGTGGGGACGGAACAGCTCCCAAGGATACAGAAAAGTAGCTGGACGCCTTGCCCACCCTCCACCCAGGGGTCCAGGGAAGGCTCAGCGGGGAGGCCCCCGGGGCTGGAGCTCGAGGCGCCTGGGCAAATGAAGGTGCACAGCTCCACACGGGAGCATCCATGGATGGAGGCGATGGGTGACAGCTTATAAGGCAAGGTTTCTCCTTGGGGTGACAGTGGTGCCTCCTGCCATTTTGCAGCACTCTTGGGTGAGACTGGTGTTCACTGAGCACCTTCTATGGAACAGGTCTTGTGCCACGGGCTGGAGAATGAATCACACCCCACCTCCAGCTCTCCAGGAACTCAGCCTATAGAGGCACAGAGAGCCAGAATGCATTACCTAGTAAGGGGGTGCATGGCGCCCCTCGGTGAGCACCAGGTGCTTGCAGGAGCCAAGGTGAGGTACCTAACTCTGACTGTGGCTCAGGGAAGACCGGCCCAGGAGTCGACACTAGAGCTCTCAGGCCTTTTGGCGAGAAGGGAGACCGGGGAGCTGAGAAACCCGCACAAAGAAAAAAGGCAGAGAAGAAAGGCAAAGAAGCAGAAAATGGCACTGTGTGAAAAGTGGATTGGAGCAAAGGGTCTCTCTCCCTGTGTATGGTTCTCAGGGGAGGGGGGAGGCCTGGGGGTGAGGAGGTGAAGCAGAAAATGTTTGTGGGGCCTGGGGAAGCGATGGGATCAGATCTACATTTGCTGTCTGGCACGGGGCACAGACCGAAACAAAGGCGGCAGGCAGAAGCAGACGAGCTAGGCCCGGGGAGAGAAGGCCTAGGTGACTGGTGTGTAGCTCTTTTTTTTTTTTTAATTTTTTATGTTTGTTTATGTATTTTTGAGAGAGAGACAGAGAGAGGGAGTGGAGCAGGGGCAGAGAGACAGCGGGGAAATCCCAAGCAGGCTCTGCACTGTCAGCACGGAGCCCAAAGTGGGGCTCAAACTCACAAACCATGAGATCATGACCTGAGCCAAAACCAAGAGTTGGACACTTAACTGACAGAGCCACCCAGGTGTTCCAACAGCTCTTTCTGAAAAGGGAGCCACACAGAAAGTCCACACAACCAATTTTCCTCACCCCCCTCCAGCAGCCACTCTCTGTCCTTCCCCCTGGCTCTCGCCTGCCCTTGGGTCCCATCTCCGCTCCGCTCTGGGGCTCACCAGGGTCACAAGAAAAGAGGGGTTTGGCTTCTCTGCTTTTCATAATCATGGCGCTCACCTGCCTCTTGTGCGCGCGCACGCTTTCCACATCACTGCCTGGCTCTCTACCCACTCCTCTCGGGGCGGGGGGTTGGGGGTGGGCCCTGAGCAGGGGTCTGCCCTGTTAATCCCAGCACCGTAGACAGGCAGCGGCGTCCGGGCGGAGCGCAAAGCACATGGGCTTTAGAGTCTAACAAAACTGCCTCTGCATGCCAGCATCTCCTTTGCCGCAGAGACTGCTTTCTCAGTTTCTGCCTGTCCGACAGGGAGGGCGGGAGGGCCTTACCAGTCAGCTCAGTGTGCCTCTATGGGGATTACAGGAGGTGACACGTGTGAGCATGCGTGTGGACCAGCTGAGCACCATGCCAGGCACACAGATGTAGCTACTGTTCTGCAGATGGAGAGCCTGACCCAAGCTAGTGGTTCTGTGGCCCGGGACTGCAGACCCCTGCCTCATTTATAGCCTGGGTGCCCAACTACCAGCCATCGAGGCGATCCACCTGCACCACGGGAGGGTTACGTTGGCTAGCGGTGTCCCTTCAAGAAGCAGCAAAACACCATGGAGGGCCTCTGTCCGGTATAAAGGCAGGCTGGGCTGTTCACGGTTACGAAAGGCTGCTCAGTGAGTGAGTGGCTTTGGAAAGGCAGGTGCGACTGTTCCCAAAGGGGCAGGGCCGATCGTGTTCACCCCCCACCCCATGGGACAGTCTGCCTGTTCTGGACAGTTGTGGCACGAAGCCAGCTCTTGGGGAACTCGGGATGGGTGGCCCTGAACATGTCTAGTTTCTAAGTTACCTCCTCTAAGAGCGGTCACCCTGCATGGCCCAGCACACCATGGGGTTCCAGGTACCCGGCAGATGTCTCCAGAAGACAGTGCCTTGCTAAAAGCAAGCAGGCCTGTTGCATCCGGGGCAGCCCCAGTGGAAGCAGGCAGTGCATGGGAATTCACAGCCAGCCACAGGGCTCCCAGGGCAAAGCTGTGCACAGTGCCAGCTGCCCCTTGGTGGTCCCTCGATGGTGTGGAGGACAAGTAGCCGTTTTTTTGTCTACTTTTCGAAGCAGACAGGCTTCTAAGAAGGTTCTGGGAAAGGAAGGCCAGGACTCCTGGGTTCTCATCAATCTTTTAATAAGAGTAAATGAAGAAAACATTGTAACAGTAAAGTCCCATGGTGAAGGTTCCTTTTCGTTCAGGGATCTTCAACAATAGCAACAGCTAAGACTGAAAGTTCAGAATGCTAAGTACACAAATGAATGACTGCTTATTTCCAAAGGTGACTGCAGAAACCATTTCGGCACAATCAAAAGGGTTTACAAAACCGAGGAAAACACATGACAAGATGCCCCAGGGAGGTGAGCAAACTGGTGGGGGCACAGGGCCACCCAAGAACCAGCTTGGCAAGGACACTCCCCCCTGCCGCTGTCTAGGGGGCTCACGAAGACTGGTTCTAAAAGGAGCCGCCGGCGGAGTGGGGGATGGGATGCGACAGGGAGGGGTCTGCCCAGTGCACAGCAAATGGGGAAGGATGGGGGCAGGGGCGGGGACAGGCATTTGCTGATTTCCTGGCAAAAATGAGACTCTTATTCTCTCCACCACAACACCACCAAGATAAATGAAGAATTCTTTAGAATAGGATACAAAACGCACACCAAAGGAAAGCCAGTTTCCGAAACGACAGCGTTGCTTGAAACGCCTTTGTTTTGTGTTTGTTTCGTGCCAGGAGTAGCAAACCAGTGTACAAAAATGTCACAGACGAGAGCAACAACAAGCCACTAGGTTTTCCTACGCACAGTATCGGCTCACTCTATATACAGAAGAAGGCGGCTCACCCCCTCTTGTGGACTCTAAGCCCCTGGGAGAGGGCAGGGCAGGGTGTGCAGTGGGAAGACCTGACTGACAGAAAGCAGCACCAGCATCCTGTCCTGCGCTGCCATTCCTCCCCCATGTCCCCTCAATCTCCCAGGCAGGACAGATGACTCTGGATCAATGCCTACAAATCCAGGGAAGTCCTTCCGGCAGAGGGAGGGGGGAGATCACGGGCTTTCGGGTACCCCTGAGCTCAGCCCCGGGGCCCCGCTGGGCCCCAGCCCCGGTGCGCAGAGACAGACCAACAACTTCTGCCGGTGGGGAGCTGTGCGCACTTCACGCAACACGAGCACAAATGGCAAACCCCCGACAGAGGCTGCAGCAAAAAGGGGTGACCTGGTAGCTAGCCTGGAGGTACCAGACGGCAATGTAAGCCGACCATCCCACTGAACCCCAGACCACCATGCAAGAAGACAGAGGAATGCATCCCCAGGCCTCCGGGAAGAAGACCATCTTCGGTGTACAGAACCAAACTCCGGAAGAGGGAGGGGGCTGCAAGCAGGCGTGACCATCTCCGCTATTCTGAGCTGATGCCACAAAGTTGGCCACCTGAGCAGACTGCTCTCACTGGCCCAGATCCTTGGCCAAGGCTACCTGGGGGCTGGGAAAGCCCTCCTTTCCCTTCCCGAGGGCTGTTTGAGAAGAAACTGTCCACTTCTACGAACACTCTCGGATACACACACACACGCACAGTAAGCTCCCACACGCTGGCAAACGGTATATGGAAACTTGGCCAAGGTGGCTGGGGAACCTCCTTGGCACCTGCCAGGAAAGCCCTAGGCAGCAGCTGGGAAGCCCAGGCCCACTGGCACGGGGGCCACCTTTCAAGGCAGGCTGCCATAGGGGTGCCCAGGTCACCTCTCACCAGGGGCTGGGCCCAAACTAAGAGTGAGCTATAGACCACATCAGGTACCTGCCATACCCCAACACCTCCAACACAAGCCACGATGCCCCGCACAGCCTATGGACAGGGCTCACTCTCCGTTCTTTCTGCCTACGTTTTTCTGAGCTGACCTGGCCCCCAGATGCCCTGCATCTACCCTCCACCCACCCCCTTCCCCTGACACATGTGGCTGCCTCTAGGATGTCACCGTCTTCTTTCCTTCCCAGCAGCAGAATATCAGCCAGAATGGGGCACTGAGCTGTAGCCAGGGCAAAGGTGTGCCAATTCAGGGAAGCCTGGGCTGACGGGCAACCTGAGCCATGCCACAGGGACAGAGAGGAAGAGAGGGTGTGTAGAGTCACTGTGCCACTGTGGCATTTCAAAGTGGAGTGTCTACCACACCCAGGCTGCGGGCCCCCAGCTGCAGCACAAACCATCTGCCTGCAGAAATTCCATGTTCTGATAGGGGACAGTACACGCCTCCAGGGGCTCTTCCCGTGCCCTCCTTCCAACCTTTCCTTTTGTGATGAGCCAAGGGGCACCGAGGCCTCGCACATTTCCCCATCAGCCATCCCTACATGCAGTGGTTTGATGGTGGGTAGGGTGAGTCTAGCTGCTCCAGAGGGGCCCCGTTCTGGAGGACAACCCCAGGATGAGAGTCACTAAGAAAAACTTGGCCGGGCCCTCAAAGACGGCAGAAAATGAAGGTTGTACGTCATGAGAAGCTCAAAGGGAAAGAGAGTACTAGGTGTGCTCTCTACAGCTCCCCCACACCATGAGCACTGATGGCCTCAAGGCCGCAAGGCCTCTGGAGAAAGGCAGTCCCTCCCAGGGGTGGCTTCCCAGGCCTCACCATGCTCAGTGACTCTCCTGCACCCTGCTGCCTTCTGTACGTCTGATTGCTAAAATCAACCACTGAGACACTGACACTCAATCTAGGTCTAATATGTAACACCCGAAATACGGGACTCCAGCACAAAGCCCCTGAGTTGCCTACAATGGGAGAGGGGAGCAGGGGCCATCAGAAGGAGTCACCGAACCAGCTTTTCTGTTCTGAAGCAAACTTGTTCTTAGTTGGAGCCCACAAGGAGTCAGCAAATGCCCAGCCACTGGCTCCCTCCTTCAAGTCCATGTGTGACTGAGTTCGAGTCTTTCAAGAGAAGGTGTTCCTTCTGAAGCATTTGAACCTGCACCCGTGGAGATCTGATTTCTTGGTACCTCCTTTTCAACCTAGACACGGACTTTGAGGGTGGGCCGCATGGGGAGGGGGGGAAGTGTGCGATGTCCGCCTGAAGCTGAACAATTCAGCAGTGAATCTGGTCTGGCCTAGGAAAACAACACTGGCAGGATCTGGATCTTTCCAAACCCTGGATGCTGACACAGCCTGTAAAAATCACAAAATGGATTGACAGGGGCCCCTGCAGAGACAGGCCCCAATGCAAGGACTCTCTGAACTCCAACATCCAAAAACAAAGGAGCAAACAAATTAAAAGCAGCAAAAAGCAAAAGCAAAAACAAAAACAAAAAACAAAAAACAAAACAAAACCCCCACCAACTCTAGCTCACCCTTCCCTGAAGCTGCCTTTTAAAAAGAGAGAGAGAGAGAGAGAGAGAGAAACATGTAAGGGGCACTCAAGATTAAAATGGCATCTGTTATCAACATTCAACTAAAATGGAGCATATGATTCAAATCACAGTTTTCTCAAGTTACCACTTCCATTAATTAATTTCTATGATGACTTCTCACTGGGATATGGGTCACTTCTCAGCTCTCTCAGGCAAGATTGACCCAGGGTCCTGCCTAGTAGGAGCTGTGGACACTTTAAACACTTACTCACTTTGGATTCTGCCACTGCAACAGCTCTCCACCCTCAATAGAATCTAGCCTTAGGGCTGAGTAGTGCCTCCACCTCCCACCACAGGGAAGCAGCTTGGAGGGAGTGGCTAGTTGGCTGCTCGCTTTGAGTCGTGGGACACCAATGGGAAGACTCTGGCAGGTTCTATTTTGGCCATGAGTGGGGAAATCCCTCGGCTCTCGGCATGCCACTGGTATAGAAACAAGGCCTCAGTCCCACCATGGTGGGGGCTGTGCTGGAGACAAGAGGGGACCCAGGCGTAAGCCTGGAGGTCCCTGGCAGTGGAGAAATGAAACCTAACTCAATCTCATCACCTCAAGGCCAACAAAAGAACTACTGCTTGTTGGTCCCCATCCCCCTCAACCAGCTGTCATGAAAGCACCAACAAGCAGAGTGAAAGCCACTGACTACCATCACCCACGTAAGGCCACTAGGAGCAGGGAGAAGGAGTCAAAGAGGAGGGGAAAGGATCCCACCCTCAGCATGACGCCTCAGGCCCCAGGAGATGTCCTGGGTGGAAGAGCTGGGGAGGGAACAGTGTGGAAGAAAGGGACAGAGAGGAGGGAAAGAGAAATACACCAGACATCCTACTGCCCTCTCCCCATGATTTCATCAAGAACTGGGTGTTCTCCAAGTCAAGTCAGGACTTGCTTCCTCGGGGAGAAAAAAAAAAAAAAAAAAAAGACAAGCACCTTCAGTCTATTTTCTTGGCTGGAAGCCGGAGCAAATCCAGCAGATATTTACACAAGGGCCCAGCCATGTATGAGAACAGGATGACCAGCTTCCCGTGGGTCATGGTCATGAGAGTCTGGTGTCCCGAGGCCCAGATGCGATACCAGGGGCCGTAGAATGGGTCTGAGATGGCCGGACACAGCATGTTGTTCAAATTCACTTCGGTGACCTGCAGGGACAAGGGAGGTAGAGTGAGCGTTCGCCATCCTGAGGCTTTCTCTGGCTTCCGCCAGTTCAGCCATCTCTACCTAATGGGGAACTAGACAAGGAGGGATTGACAAATCCCCACCTGTTCATAGCGGGATTTCTCTGCCCTAGGGTTTTGGAGTGGGTCAAGGATAGAGCCTTCGGGAGGTGATGGGGGAGGCCATCCAATGCAAAAGCTGTTTGGTTTTGCTCAGTCATGCCTTCTGGTTGGGTCCAGAGCCTGCTGTCATTCCTAAGCAACTACTATGTGCCTAGTCCCCAGAGAGGTGTCAGGGGATGACTGAACAGTCAACGGCATGGTCTCTGCCTCTGCTTAACTGGCAGCCAACCGCGTTGGCATGGGCAACCGCATCTGACCTCAAAGAAGACGGTGTGCACCAGGTGTTCCCCACCATGAGATGTGAGGAGTGTACAGCATGGGGACTGAGTCCTCAGAGAAGATGTCATGAGGTAGGTGGCACCCTGAATGGACTCATGAAGGATGGATAGGGGTCATGGCAGGGAATGGAGTGCGCACTGCCTTCCTTGGAGGAGGTGTGGCCTGAGTCAGGCCTGGAGGTGGGACTGAACATGGTTATGTGTGGTGACATGAGGACACTGACCCCTCTGGAATCAAGCAGTTCCAGTGGAGAGCGCTCAGAGTAAGGTGTGAACGTCATACTGCTTTCTTCCTAGGGCGCAGGACACCATTGGCAAAGAGCTCAAACTGTCCCCCAGGCAAACCAGAGGAAAGCAATACCCCAGGGTGGGGAAGGGAAAGTGATGGCTTCTACAGAGGCGTGGGTAACATCAGTCCCGTGCCGTAGTCCTGCAGGTTCCGCGAGGCTCCACACGGCTAATAGTCAAAATGCCGCTCATGCACAAAACCAGACCTGCCACTCCGGCCCCAAGGATGGCCACAACACCTGCCTTCCACAGCCCTTCAAGCCCATTCATGTCAGACACAAGTCCTCAGCACCTCTCGGGGAGGCTGGGGGTTCTGTACCATGTCACAAAGGGGTAGAGAGCTCTCTGCCCTCGAGGGGGAGGTGACTCACCCAGAACGGTGACAGAGCCAGGACTTGAACTTGTGTCTCCTGACCCCCAGCCCCGAGCTCATCCTCCTCACTCTGCCACCAACAGACACCCATGCACTCAGCAATTCTGGGCTCTGGATAACTCAACTACTGAGTCCAGCCATCATCCACGCTCTAGGCAGGTCTGAACACCCCAGAATGCCACGGGAGTCCCCCAACACTGCACTTGCACCGGCCACACAGCCCAGGGCCTGGGAGTAGACCCAGAATAGACCCAACGTCAAAAGCCTCCTCCAGGCCCTGGGGCCTGGGCTTAAGGTCCTGCCTCCCTCACCTCCCCACCATGGGGTCCACAGCAAATCACTTTCCAGATGCAGCTCACTGTTTCCAACCTGGGTGGTCATCAGTGAAGGGCATGTTTGCCTCCCCAGGGATGAAAGAAACAATCAATACTGAAGGCTTCAGAAAACTCTCTGGAGAGGCCCAGGCTGTGGCTCATAAATCAGCAACCCAGACACAACAACGTGACATCCTGGCCCTTGGCATCTTGAATTTTCAAAACAAAACGATACACCAGCGCCAACCAGGATTATCAAGATTTATGGAGAACTCCAAACGGAGGGGATAGAAGGGGGACAGAACCGAACTTACCAGGCCCAGGATCTGCAACACGCTGAAGTGGTAAAAGAACATGAGGCCAGTTGAGAGAAGGGCCCACCGGAAACTGCTGAGGGGCTCTGGGGTGTAAGCACCTGGAGGAAAAAGGGGGACATGATGAGACGGCAAGCTTGGGAACCCACTTCTCCTCTGCCCCTCGAGGGTGCAGGTGCTGAGGCCACAGCCGTTGCCAGCTGATGCCCTCCTCTCACTCCTCAGTGATGTCTACTTCAAAGCCAGTGCCACTGATTAGCTGGCTAGTCATGCCATCCCATCTGTTCTGCCACATACTGCCAGGGCCATTAAGAAGGGAGGATTTGATGATGATGATGATGATGGTGACGACGACGACGACGACGACGATGACGTCATGACGACGACGACAACAATGACAATGACGACGACGATGAAAGGAATGCATGCTCATTAAAGGAAATTCAGAAAACACTAGAAAGTAGAAACAAGGTGGAGAAAACAAAGAAAAATACCCCCACCATTCTACTACCCAAAAGCAACCCTGCACACTTGTGTGTGTGCGCGCGCGCGCGAGTGCACACACACTCAATGAGTCTGCTTGGTTTTCTCAATGCCTCAGGAGTTGCTTTTTTTTTTTCTTCTTAATTGCTAACTGGAATCTAACTGTATATATATTCACATGTCCTTCCCTTTCATGTTTACTTTGCATCTTTCCCTCATGTTTCTAAAGAGGGATGCCGCTGAGGAAGTATGGTTAGGGTGGTTGAGAAGGTGAACTAACTGTCATGATGGGCAGATTTCGGGTCAAATCTAGATTCTACCACTTACTGGCTGCGTGGCCCTGGAAAAGTTGTTGAAACTCCCCTAAATCTCAGGATACCAGTCATACCTCCCTCTCAGAACTGTTGCAAGGAATAAAGGAAATGATATTACGCGTGAGGGCTCGTAATACAGGATTGTGTATGATGTGAGTGTTCGATTGGTGTTAGATGCTGTCATTAACACATCATCGTTATTCTTCAAATAACCACAGAACGTGCCATATCAAATGGCGATGCCATTTTCCCAAATCATTACACAACTCCTTCCCCCGGGAACAGCGAGAATGATGTATTTTCCATCCAGCCATCACAGTAGGAACTACCATCCCAAGTAGGCTTGGATGCACTCCAGAGCTTGCAGAGCAGGGGTATGGCTTATAGGATATTGTGGGGTGTCACTATGAATGGGGGCTTGGGGGGGTGCTCCAGAATGAAAGGAAGCTGGAACCCTCTACCCCAAACAAATAGACAGCAATATTACATCCCATAGTGGTATTTTCCCAAGTCAGTCTTTCACTGATTCATCCATTCATTTACCAGCTATTAGGCACCTATTATATTCCAAGCTCTGTCCCAATCTTTGGGGACAAAAAGATAAGACAGGTTCCCTACAATCCAGGCTCACAGTCAGGCAGCAGAGGCAGACACACAAATCAATAATTAGAACCCAATACAATGGGTGTGATGCTTGTGGTCTGTGCTACATAATATAGGAGAACAGAACCCAGCTTGAGGTGGGGCTGGCGGGGTAGGCAGGGAGAAGACGTAGGAACAAGGACCACTTCTTGGTAGAGGGGACACAGAGCAGTCCTGAAGGATGTAACCAGGGCCCAAGGCATTCCAGAGCCAGCAGCTTGCACAATGACACATGTGAGCTCCCGGAAGCGAGGCAATTCAGAGAACTATGGGTAAGAGTTAGGGCTACAGTGGCCAGTGTGAAGGGGTGGTGAGCAGGAGTAAGACCCAGACATTGGCAGAGGGCTGGCCTGCTCCAAGACCTTAGGAGCCACACGGAGGGGCTCTGGGCTTCATCCCATACTTGCAGGGTCATGAGCCCAGGTACCACAAGGCTTAGGTAGGAAACTGGGAGGAGAGTGACCAGAGACTAAGAGACATTAAGGATGCTGGAGACTGGCCAACTGGAAAGCCCATGCCCCTTCTAAAGATGGCAACCACCACTCAGCTCCATCCAATCATTGCCCTGTGGGGACGTGGTTCCCAGAGTTGCCAGTTTTGTTTTGTTTTGTTTTCAGTTTTGCAAGAGAAGCCAGAAATCTGAACTTTTGTGTGGAATTTCCTGATTTCTAAATGTTGGCAAATAATTCAAAATGTTTTCAGAACGCTCAATGGACCAAACAAAACACATCTTTTTGGATAGATTTCAGCCCGTGGATGGTCAGCTTTGTGCTCTGCCGCAGAGCCCCAGAAAACAGCAGGAAAGTGATGTGACCAGACATGTGCTCGAGAAAGGTCATGCTGGCTAGCAAAGGGGAAGGAAGGGAGCAGAGGATATCAAGGCAGGGAGACTGATAAGGAGGCTACTGCAGGAACCCAAAGAGCGAAGGGGATGGATGGCCCTCAAAGGTAATAGCAGTAGGAATGGAGAAAAGTAGAAGAAGGTCTCACCAGGATATGGTAGAAGGCTGGATGCTGGGGAAGAAGGGTCAGGACAAATCTAGAAAGACTTCTAGCTTGGGCCTCCTTGGGCTGATGGAGCCATTTGTTGTGATGGAGAAGAGAGGAAAAGGCAGAATGGGGCAGAAAGTAGGATGACGATGAGGCCAATGTTGAACATGTCGAAATTGAGGTGTCTGCGGAACATCCAAGTGGAGATGTCTCCCAGGCAGCTGAGGGCAGCCTGGGAAACGGCACGGTGGCAGAGAGTATGGGCACTCGAGCCCGAAGACACAGGTTTTCAAATCCTGGCTCTTGTCACTTATCAATGTCAAGGCCTTGGACAAATAAGCCTCAGTATCTCTTGAATTCAGTTTCACTCCTCTATAAAATGGGGTGCCACTACCTACTTCTCAACGTTGTTGGGTAGATGAGATGACATAATTTAATGTTTATTTTTGAGAGAGAGAGAGAGAGAGAAGCAGATGGGGGAGGGGCAAAGAGAAAGGGAGAGAGAGGATCCAAAGCAGGTTCTGCACTGACAGCAGAGAGCCTGATGCGGGGATCCAACTCACGAACCATGAGAACACGACCTGAGCCAAAGTCGGACACTCAACTGACTGAGCCACCCAGGCGCCCCAGAGATGACATAATTTAAGTCATGTTGTAGTGTAGTATCTGGAATTTAACAAATGTTGGCTATTTTAATTATTATAATGAATCACAAACTCAGTGAAGAGGGTCAGGATGAACATCCAGATATAGGAATTATCGGCACACAAACGCAAGCAGAGTCATAGGGGCACGTGTAGAGGGAGAAAGGAAGGCCAGAGGCAGAATAACAAGGAACATCATGGGGGTGGAAGGCGGAGGGTGGAGGGGAGAAGGAACAAGATGGGGTGACTGAAGCCAGGCAGGTCTTCTGGGGATAGCAAGCTCAGGCTTGCTATCAGAACAAGAGCCAGGCTCACAGCACATTGGAGTCAGAAGGCCCTTCAAGCACATCAAACTCATTCCTCCATTTTAGAGATGGAGACACTGAGGCTGGGAGATGGGAGGTGCCACCGTCAAAGTCAGAACAGAGCACTGGGTTTTCAGATACCGCTGGGCTCCTCGCTGCTCAGCGTCCCTGTTGCCACTTGTCCACACCTCCACACCCGAGTTGTACCATCTCTTTCCTGGTCTGTCTACCCAGACAGTCTAGACCAGAGTGCCTCGGGGGAGGGGACCTTGTCAGATTCGGTGCATCTGGCACCACACTTGGCTTGTGAAAAGACACTGAGCTATGTACTTACTGTGTGCTGAATGAATGGGAATTGGGCACCGTGTTGTCCCCTGGCTGCTGGGGACATAAGGGGAAGAGGGGACCGGGAGGAGCAGCAGGAACATAGGCTCATGCTCAGGCCCCTCAAGCCCTGAGCCATTTTCTCCAGGTGTTCCTTCCCTCCAGCCTCTTCTTGGCTCCCCCTAAGCGGCATCTGTGCGGTAGTGACAGGTCACATGGGCCAGGTGCAGGAAAGGGACGGGAGGGGGTAGCCAAGAGGTCCTCAGCCTGGAGGTAGCTTAGCCGCAGACCTGGGGAAAGCAGGGAGGTGGCACCCCCTCTCCTCACTGTGCACCTCCCCTGCCCTGCAGTCCCTGACCTGTGATATGGGGGAAAGGGACACACTCAGACACTGCTAAGGGTCCATGCTCTCAATGCCTGTTGCCCAAATCCCCACTTTACTACGGTTCACTTTGTGTTGCCCCATCCGCCCCACCCTAGACCATCAGTTCTATGGATGAGGAGCCGTTTCTGAATCCTCCCTTCCCTTTCAGCACCTGGTGCACATCAGGCACTCAAAAAATGATCAGCGTGTGAGAGAACAAGCATCACAGGCCTTCCAGAGAATCATCAAACCATAGAGAACCCTTTGGCTTGGCAATACTACTTTGAGGACAACCACAGAATGGCGAAAGAACGCAACAGGCTGCTCTTATTTGCACAAAGATTTTTACAGCTGTACCACCTATAATATGGAGGACCTGGAAAGAAACCAAATAGGGAGATAACCTCTGGCACCGCATTACCATCAACCGCCATTCAAATGACAACTGCCATTCAAATGACAACCAAACTATGAGCCTGTGTGGAAAAGTCCCTGGCTGGAAATGGCAAGTGTAAAAGGCAGAACACCAAGCAATACGCAAATGATGGAAAATAGAGCTTAATGGTTTAAAACAAAGGGTTTGGTGTCAGACAACCTTGGGTTTGAACCTTGCCTCTGCTACTGCCTGTTGGTGGTGGGAGAGACCTTGAGGAAATAGTGCTGCCCCTCTCAGAGCCTTTCTTGTATGAAGATTGGAGGTAACATCCACCTCTCATGGCTGCTGAGTAGAATAGGAGATACAGAAAAGTAAATAGAGCAGCTAGCTGGCACACAGCAGGCGGCTTCTATTTTTAGCATGGCAAAACCACAGCCATCCAAAATCTCCTAAAAGCCTGGAACAAGACAGGGAATCTTACAAAGACATGATCTTCTCTGTGAAGGGGGAGATTTTTTTTTAAAGTTTTATTTCTTTCTGAGAGAGAGAGAGGCAGCGTGAGCAGGGGAAGGGTCAGAAAGGGAGGGAGACAAAGAATCTGAGGCAGGCTCCAGGCTCTGAGCTAGCTGTCAACACAGAGCCTGATGTGGGGCTTGAAC